GTGGTGTTTTTGGGGAAGCAAAAGCCCAGGGGTGTTTAGGGGGAAGCAAGTGCCCGGTGTTTTGTAAAGGGGGGAAGCAAGTTCCCAGTTGTGTGTAGGGGGGAACAGTGCGCAGGTGTGTGTAGGGTGAAGCAAGTGCCCAGGTGTTTGTAGAGTGAAGCAAGTGCCCCCGGTTTGTGTAGGGGGAAGCAAGTGCCCCCGGTGTGTGTAGGGTGAGGCAAGTGCCAGGTGGCGTAGGGGGGAAGCAAATGCGAGGGTGTTTTGGATGAAGCAATTTCCCAGGTTTTGTTTGGGTTTAAGCCAAATTCCCAGGTGTGGGGTAGGGTGAAGCAAGTGCCCGGTGTGGGTTTTAGGGGGAAGCAAGTGGCCCGGTGTGTGTTGGGGAAAAGTGCGGGAGGTGGGGTGGGTAAGCAAGTGCCCAGGTGTGTGTAGGGGGGAAAGCAAGGCCCAGGTGGTGTTGGGGGAAAAAGTGCCAAAGGGGGGTGTTGGGTGGGAAACAAGTGCCCCCGGGGGTGTAGGGTGAGGCCAAATGCCCCGGTGGTGTAGGGTAAGGCAAATGCAAAAGGTTTTGTTTTTAGGGTGAAACAATGCCCCCGGTTTTGTGTAGGGTGAAACAAGTGCCCCGGTGAAAGTAGGGGTGAACAATGCGCAGGGGGTGTGAAATTTTAAGCAAAAAGCCTAGGTGTGTGTAGGGTGAAGGGAAGTGCGCCCGGTGTGTGGGAGGGGTGGAAACTAGTGCGCAGATGTGTGTAGGATGAGGCACATGCCCGGTGTTGGGGGGTTGAGGGAAAATTTCCCCGGTGTGTGGGAGGGTAAAGGCAAGAGCCCAGGTGGGGTGTAGGGTGAAAACAAGGCCCAGGGGGGTGTAGGGTGAGGAAAGTGCCCAGGTGTGTGTGGGTGAAGCAAGTGCCCAGGGTGTGTAGGGGGAAAACAAGTGCCCCCGTGTGTGTAAAAGGGGGAGGCCCAAATGGCCCCCGGTTTGTGTGGGTTAGGCAAGTGCCCCCGGTTGTGTATGGTGAAGGGTAAATACCCTTTTTGGGGGTAGGGTGAAGGGTAGTGCGCAGGTGTTGTTGGGGGAAGCAAATGCCCAGGTGGTTTTTAGGGGGAAGCAAATGCCGTTTTGTGTTTGGGTGAAGCAAGTGCCCAGGTGTGTGTTTTGGGGAGGCAAAGGGGCCCGGTGGGGCGAGGGTAAGCAAATGCGCAGGGGGTGGGGTAGGGTGAAAGCAAATGCCCAGGGTTTTTAGGGGGGAAGCAAGTTCCCCGGTGTGGGGTGGGTGAAGCAAGTGCCCAGGTGTGGTTTTAGGGGTTTAAAACAAGTGCCCCGGGGTTGTTGGTGAAAACAAGTGCGCCCGGTGTGTGTTTGGGTGAGGGAAGTGCCCAGGTTGTGTAGGTTGAGGCAATTTTCCCAGGTGTGGGGTAGGGTAAAGCCAAAAAGCCCAGGTGTGCGTAGGGTGAAGCAAGTGCCCGGTGTTTTTTTGGGTGAGGCAAAAGGCCCCGGGGGGTGTAGGTTGAGGGGAAATTTCCCCGGTTTTGTAGGGTTTAAAGGGAAGAGCCCCGGTGTGGGGTAAAGGGGGAAGCAAGTGGCCCCGGGTGTGTGTAGGGGGAGGGGCGGGCCCAAGGGGTGTGTAGGGTGAAGCAAGTGCCCCGGGGTGTGTAGGGTGAGGCAAGTGGCCCCGGTTTTGTGTAGGGTTTTGGCAAGTGCCCCGGTGTGTGTAGGGTGAAGCAAGTGCCCAGGGGTGTGTAGGGGGAGGCCAAATGCCCGGTGTGTTGGGGGGAAGCAAATTTTTCCCCGGTGTGTTTTTGGGGGAAGCAAGGCCCCGGTGTGTTTTAGGGGGAAGCAAAATACCCAGTTGTGTGTAGGGGGAAGCTAGTGCGCAGGTGTTGGGGTAGGGTTTAAGCAAGTGGCCCCGGGTGTGTGTAGGGTGAGGCAATCCCAGGTGTGGTAGGGCGAAGCAAGTGCCCAGGTTGGGGTGTGGGTGAGGCAAGTACCCAGGTTGGTAGGGGGGAGGCAAATTTCCCAGGTTGTGTAGGGTTTTGGCAAGTGCCCAGGTGTGTTTTAGGGTGAAGCAAGTGCCCCGGTGGGTGTAGGGTGAAGCAATTTCCCCCGGTGTGTGTAGGGTTAAAAGGGAAATGCGCAGGGTGTGTAGGGGGAAACAAGTGCCCAGGGGTGTGTTTAAAGGGGAAGCAAGTGCCCAGGGGTTGGGGGGTGGAGCAAGTGCCGGGGTGTGTAGGGGGAAGCAAATGCGCAGGTGTTTGTAGGGGGGAAGCAATGCCCCAGGTGTGTGTAGGGGGGAGGCCCCATGCCCAGGGTTTTGTAGGTTGAGGGAATTGCCCAGTGTGTGTGGGTAAGGCAAAGCCCAGGGGGTGGGGGGTAGGGGAAGAAAATGGCCCCGGTGTTTTTGTAGGGGGAGGCAAGTGCCCAGGTTTTAGTAGGGGGGAAGCAAGTGCTTTGGTGGTGTAGGGGGAGGCAAGTGCCCAAAGGGTGTGTGTTGGGTTTAGGGAAGTTCCCCGGTGTGTGTAGGGTTAGGCAAGTGCCCAGGTGTGTGTAGGGTTTAAGCAAGTGCCCAGGGGTGTGGATTGTGGGCAAGTTCCCGGTGGTGTAGGGGAAGGGAATTGCCCAGGTGTTTTTTAGGGTGAAGCAAGTGCCCAAGGGGGTGTGTAGGGTGAAGCAAGTAAAACCCCGTTGTGTGTAGGGGGAAAACTAAATGGCGGTTGTGTAGGGTGAAGCAAGGCCCAGGTTTTTTGTAAGTGAACAAGTGCCCGGTTTGTGTAGGGTGAAGCAAGTGGGCCCCGGGGTGTGTAGGGTGAAAAGGGAAGTGCCCAGGGTGCGTAAAAGGGGGAAAACAAATGCGCAGGTGTGTGTAGGGTGAAGCCCAATGCCCCGGGGGTGTTTAGGGTGAAGCAAGTTTCCAGGTTTGGGGTTTGGGTGAAGGGAAAGTGCTCAGGGGTGTGTAGGGGGAAGCAAAGTTTCCCCGGGTGTGTGTAGGGGGAAACAATTGCGGGTGTGTGTAGGGTGAAGCAAGTGCCCAGGTGTGTGTAGGGTTTTTAAACAAGTGCCCAGGTGTTTTTGTGGGTGAAGCAAGTGCCCAGGGGTGTGTAGGGTGAGGCCAAATGCCCCGGTGTGTGTAGGGTAAGGGAATTTACAGGGTGTGTAGGGTGAAGCAAAATGCCCCGGGGTTTTGTAGGGGGAAGCAATGCCCAGGTGGGTTTTTAGGGGGAAGCAAAATGCGCAGGTTGTGTTAGGTTGAAGCAAATGCCCCCGGTGTGTGTAGGGTGAAGCAAGTGCGCAGGTGGTGTAGGGTGAAGCTAGTGCGCAAGAAAGTTTGTAGGATGAGGGGACATGCCCGGGGGGTGTAGGTTGAAGGGAATTGCCCAGGTGGGTGTTGGGTAAGGCAAGAGCCCAAAGGGGTGTGTAGGGTGAAAACAAGTTTCCCAGGTGTGTGTAGGTGAAGCAAATGCCCAGGTGTAGTAGGGTGAAGAAGTGGGGGCCGGGGTTTTTTTTTGGGTGTAAGGGGGAAGAAAATGCCCAGGTGTGTGTATTTTGAAGCAAATGTCAAAGAGAAATCGCAATTAGGGCAACAGACTTGTTCCCCCTTTAAAGGGAAAACGCTGGGGATTAATAAATAATAATTTTCCTGGCCCCTTTAAAAACCCGCGTATCATCACCAGAAACACAATACCTACCCCTCAAATATTGTTTCCCCTCAACACTCTGAAACCCTTTTAGGGAATTGTCACCACTTGTAGTCAAAAAAAACCCAAAATTTAAAAAAAATTAACTAAGGAGTTAACACTAGTTTGAAATTTTTTAAAATTAACAATTAAGATGTTTTATTTTAAAAATTTTACTTTTAGAGTAAAAAAACTAAAAATTCATCATATGTAACTCGGGGTTTTTTGTCTATGACATTTGCGTCAGGACGTCTGTGTTTTCTTTTCACTTTAAATTTCGATCGGTACAAAAACACTTGTTTCGTTACTTCGTGTTCTTAGTAGTAAACCGTAGGCGTTATTCCTGTTTTTAGGTTTATTTGTATAGATTATGGAGAGGATAGTGCCGAGGATTGTTCCTTGGGGGACCCCATTTGTTATGTGGTCACTCAGACACGTCTCCACTGAGCATTTGTTGTTGGCTCTCAGTCAGGCAGTCTGGAGCCAATCCGGATTCAATTCGGATTCAGTCCGGATCCAGTTGAGGTCCACAACGGATGTAGTGCATCTAGTCGCATAACGACTTTAGCTTCCCTTCTCTTTATTACCTTGCCAAAGGTTGTGTGAAACTATGGGCGAGGATTCTAGTTCAGAATTATTGTATATGGAATTAAATCATTCGTCAATTGAGAGGAAGTGCAATACGTTTATGAATAGAAAACTCGCCGAAGAATTTGCCTTAGAAGTAATCATAACCTTTCCAAAAATATAATTTGGGGAGAAATTTTCCAAAATATTCCAGGTATGGTATCTATCGACTATATTCAAGTGATATTTGGTCTCTGATGATATCTAGACAGAGGTATATGTACAGAGAGGTGTGTGTGTGTGTGTCTCAGAGTTTACTGCATACCCTCCATTAGGGATCAGAGTATTATTGACTGGTGATGAACAGGTGACTTGCAGCAGCCTTAATGAGCCTCGTGTAGTCGATAGACTTTAAACCCAATTAACTAATCAGCCTATAATGACTTTGAACTTTGGCTGCTGCTGACATCATCATCATCATCATCCAGGTGTGTTTTGATAATTGTTATCCAGACCTGTCCAAATACAGGTAATATTGTATCACTGCTGACCAGGGAGACCTGGTGTGAAACCGAGTCTCAGGAGCGATGACCCCCTGGGTCATCTAGAAGCACCCGCTAATCCAGGTCACTTTTAACCCTCCCTACTGACTTCCATTCAGGTGACCTCTGTCTGACCCCTCTACTGATCTCTCTTCATTCAGATAAGCTCTGATTTGTCTACTGACCTTTATTCAGTTGGCCTCTGGCCCCTCTACTGACCTCCACATCCTGTCTGGTGAACTCATTGGTGCCATTTTTCTTGTTGATGATCTCTGCTACACCGATGACCTCACCTTCGTAGTTACAGACCGGCATGCACAACACACTCATGGTCCTGTAGCCTGTTCGACGGTCGATGCTGGCGTCGAACCTTGGGTCCTGGAGAGAAGAGACGTCGAGTGTCGTTAATGACAGATGTGAGAGTTCGAGACTGAGAGAAGGAGGATGAAGCTGGGAGGAGGAGTGGCTGTTACTTGAAGTGTGAAGTTGAATATTTTTCATTTATTTTCGAGTGTGAGGGCTTAAGGGGCAGCTCGAAGAGTTTCATTGTGTGGATCAATAAAAGTTAATAAAGGTCTCCACTGAATCGAAGTGGATGTCTTTTGTTGACTGGGAGGATAGGGGGAATAGTTGGGTGTGTTGATCGTGAAACTGAAGGGTTAGTTCTTGTGTGTGTTGTCCAGTGGTGTGGGAAAGGAAGGGGTAGTAAGAATTACTATTAGAACAGCTGCTGTATAGTCCTTGTGGCTTAGCGCTTCTTTTCTGATTATAATAATAATATTAGAACAGCTTGTAAGAAATGGTGACTTCTGTTGTGAGGTGGTGAGGTTAGAGTAGACATTGTGAGTGTGACAGAGTCAAGTACGAGTCTGTCTTCAGGTACGAGGAAACAGACGTGAGTTTGGTAAACCTCCCTCCCAGAATACTCAGCCATTTGTGGTTATGAGGGAGCCGAGCCTCCTAGCTTCTAATAGTGACGCTAAATCTCACACGACAGACTTCAGTAAACTTTCTTTCTTCTCGAAGGAAGCGTCGTACCCATTCTTAAAACTGCTTGTACGATATTATTTAAGTCGGATTTACCAAAACAATCCAACTTCTCCTCTCTCTCTCTCTTTCTCTCTCTCTCTCTCTATCTCTATCTCTCTCTATCTCTCTCTCTCCTCTCTCTCTCTCTCTCTCTCTCTCTCTCTCTCTCTCTCTCTCTCTCTCTCTCTCTCTCTCTCTCTGTCACATAAAGATTTCTAATTTCTCATGACTTGAAAATCGGTGGTAATTAAGGGAACACGAGACATGAAATCATTGATCTCCTGAAGTCACTAACCTCCTGAAGTCACTGAGCTCCTGAAGTCACTAAGCTCCTAAAGCCACTGAGCTCCTAAAGTTACTGAGCTCCTAAAGTCACTGAGCTTCTGAAGTCACTGATCTCCTAAAGTCACTGATCTTCTGAAGTCACTGAGCTCCTGAAGTCACTGAACTCTTGAAGACACCGAGCTCCTGAAATCACTGAGCTCCTGAAGCCACTGAGCTACTGAAGTTACTGAGCTCCTGAAGTCACTGATCTAAAGTCACTGAGCTTCTGAAGTCACTGAGCTCCTGAAATCACTGAGCTCCTGAAGTCACTGAACTGCTGAATTCACTAAGCTCGTGAATACATTAAAACCCCAAAAAATAAGCACTAGAAGACAATAAACACCAGAAAACATTGAGCACCAGAAAGCACTGAGCACCAGAGGAATTAGAGCTCCTGAAGAGAGAGCTACAGCAGATATTAAACACCGTACGCTTAATATGTGTAAAGCTCCATCTCTGGGAAACGAAAGCTATTTTTACCCCTCTGAAAGCTCTTACGATTGTCCGGAGAGAGATAGAGAGAGAATTAACACACACACACACACACACACACACACACACACACACACACACCACACAACACACACACACACACACACACACACACACACACACACACACACGCACACACACACACACACACAAACGCACACACACACACACACACACACACACACACACACACACACACACACGCACACACACACACACACACACACACACACACACACACACACATATATATAATATATATATATATATATATATATATATATATATATATATATATATAAATGTATATATATATATATATATATATATATATATATATATATATATATATATATATATATATATATATATATATATATGTCGTGCCGAATAGGCAGAACTTGCGATCTTGGCTTAAATAGCAACGCTCATCTTGCCATATAGGACAAGCGAAAATTTGTGTATGCAATAATTTCGCCAAAATCATTCTGAACCTAACGAAAAAAATATATTTCACTGTGTTTGTTTAGTATTAAATTACTGTAAACAAATCTAAAACATATTTAGTTGGGTTAGGCTAAAATAAATTGTTCATGTTATAATAAGGTTAGGTAAGTTTTCTAAGATTCTTTTGGAACAAAATTAAAAAAATTTTCATTAATATTAATGAAAAAAATATATCTTTAAACGTATAAAAGAAAATTTTAGAAAGGACTTAATTTTAAATGAGTTCTTGCTAATTAACCAGTTTTACATATTCGGCACGACATATATATATATATATATATATATATATATATATATATATATAAAATATATATATATATATATATATATATATATATATATATATATGGGATAAAGACAGAAATGTTAAAAGCAGGAGGGTATTTAGTTTTCGAATGGTTAGTTCTTTTATTTAATAAGTGAATGGAAGAGGAGAAGGTACCTTGTGATGTAGTTCAGCTGGGCTTGTGAGGTCTCTGGGGAGACCTAATTTAACCAATTATATGGTCACACCTTGCCTTGGCAAACGTCTGTCAGCCACGCCCATGTCTGAGGTCTTTTGTTCTTGACGGCGTCAGACATAGGCGTCAGGTCGTACACGTGGTTGTGGAGGGTGCTTGGACCACCATAAAAGCCCAAGGAAGAGCATGATCAGGAGATTCGTGCGGAGCACTGGCCTGGGTGCAGAGCTCCGAGCAGAGACTTCGAGCGGAGCTGCTGCTGGGGTGCAGGGCTCGGGAGAAGGCTGCTGAAGTCTCTGGAGGAGACTGTTGGAGGCACTGGGCAGAGTACTGGCTTGGCGCAGTACTCGTGCTGTGTAGGTCTTGGGACCTGTGGCTTAGTTCCTGTGATGAACTGTCCTCTGAACTATATTGTAAGTTATATTCTGTTTCGCCAAGCTAATTGTATTCCCTGTCTCACTGCTTATATGTACCATCCCATTTATCTAAACCCCAATAATGTACTACTATTCCCAAATATATTATTTTACAAGGACTTAATAATAAACTGTGTTTGAGTAGAATAGTAATATTCACTGTCCCCGTTATTTATTCTTATTTCCATTTATTTATGTTTAGTTAAAGTAGTGAGAGGGTGAGTAGTGTGGAGTGGTGGGTAGAGTAATGAGAGGTGAAGGTGTAGTCACCAGTGACCTCACATTACCTACCTCCGCTAATCATCTCTCCTACCACCTCGCCTGCCTGTCCCCTGCCTACTGACTCCCTCTGCTTACCCCCATATTCCCCTAATCATTACCCCCCTACATGACATGGTGGCAGTGGTGGGATCTGACGCCTAGGTCTGACGCCGTCAAGAACAAAAGACCTCAGACGTGGGCGTGGCTGACAGACGTTTGCCAAGGCAAGGTGTGACCATATAATTGGTTAAATTAGGTCTCCCCAGAGACCTCACAAGCCCAGCTGAACTACATCACAACCTAGGGATTGGCAGAGAGCATGCATAGTTCCTTTGTACAAAGGCAAAAGGGACAAAAGAGAGTGTAAAAATTATAAGGGAATAAGCCTGTTGAGCATACCTGGTAACGTGTATGGTAGAGTTATTACTGAAAGAATTAAGAGTAAGACAGAGAGTAGGATAACAGATGAACAAGGAGGCTTTAGGAAGGGTAGACCAAGTGTTTACAGTGAAACATAGGTGAACAGTATTTAGATAAGGTTAAAGAGGTTTTTATGGCATTTGTGTATTTGGAAAAGGCGTATGACAGGGTGGATAGTGGGGCAATGTGGCAGATGTTGAAAATGTATAGAATGGGTGGTAAATTACTGAAAGCAGTTAAGAGGTTTTACAAGGATAGTGAGGCTCAGCTTAGAGTATGTAGGAGAGAGAGGGAGATTATTTCCCAATAAAAGTAGGCCTTAGAGAGGGTTATGTGATGTCAATATGGTTGTTCAATATATTTATATATGGGGTTGTAAGAAAAGTGAATGCTCGGGTGTTGACAAGAGGTGTGGAATTAAGAGATAAAGACTGTAACACAAAGTGGGAGTTGTCACAGTTGCTCTTTGCTGATGACACTGTGAAGTTGCAGAGGTTGGTGGACGAGTTTGGAAGGATATATAAAAGAATGAAATTAAAAGTGAATGTAGGAAGAACAAGGTGATGAGGTTAACAAAAAAATGAGGTAATGTAAGACTGGATATCAGATTGGAGGGAAAGAGTATGGAGGAAGTGAATGTATTCAGATATCTGGGAGTGGACTTGACAGCAGATGGGTCTATGAAAGATGAGTTAAATCACAGAATTGACGAGGAGAAAAAGGTGAATGGAGCACTGAGGAGTTATCTTTGGAAGCAAAGAGGGGCATGTATGAGAGTATAGTTATACCAACGCTCTTATATGGGTGTAAAGCATGGGTGGTGAATGTTACAACAAGGAGAAGGCTGGAGGCAATGGAGATGTTGTGTCTGAGGGCAATGTGTTGTGTGAATATAATGTACAGAATCCATAGAAGAGATTCCGTAGAAGGACGTGCGAGGGTTAAACATATTATCCAGAGGGAATAGGAAGGTTTATTGAGGTGGTTCGGAAATCTGGAGAAGATGGAACAAAATAGAATGACTTAGAGAGCATATAAATCTGTAGTGGAGGGAATGCAGGGTAGGGGTTGTCCTAGTAAAGGTTGGAGGGAAGGGTTAAATGAGGTTTTGTGTGCGAGGGGGCTTGGACTTCCAGCAAGCGTACGTGAGAGTGTTAGAACTGAATGGAGACGAATGGTTTTTATGACTTTACCTGCTGTTGGAGTGTGAGCAAAATAACATTTATGGAGAGATTCAGGGAAACCGCTTAGCCGGGCTTGAGTCACGGAGGTGGAAAGTAGAGTGCCTTCGCTCTGAAGGAGGGGTGTTAATATGTTGCTTTTTTTTACGGTAGTGTAGGCACGTCTCTGGAGTGAATGATGGTGAAAGTGTTTTTCTCCCGGTTACCCTGCCTTGGTGGGAAACGGACTATGTTATATATATATATATATATATATATATATATATATATATATATATATATATATATATATAATATATATATAATATATATATATATATATATATATATATATATATATATATATATATATTAATATA